TTGGGTTTGTAAGTTTGTGCTTCTGCTTCGTTTCTGTGATTGCAGCATTTTTCTGTTGCTGCGTTTTTCTGTTGCATTTGTTTTATGTGTTTGTGTGTTTTTGGTTTTGCATCATTCACATTTTTGCAGAATTTTGCTGCTTGCAGCGCATTTGCCCTTGTCAGCCACCATAGTACTGTTCTTTCGCCTTGCTAAACTTACTCTTTAAACATGTCCCTGTCCCCACTCCCTAACACTTAACCGTCTGTGTTTGGCTGTGAACTACGGTTTGTCATTGTTATAACTCCACCCTGGTGCGTGATGGTACACAGCAGTCCAGAGGCTGGTGTATGACGTCACATGTGAATGTGGGTTTATCAAATCAATCATATCAAATCTACAGTAAAGCACATTCAGGTCGTCAGCCAGTTGGTTCTCCACAGTGTGGGGCGATGGGCTCCTGTAGCTGCTGATGTCCTTGTAGGCCTCTCCACAGTGACCTTACAAAAACTGATGTAAGATGTAACAGTGTAATAAACTAACAGGGGGAGTAGAAAGGTTTGCAGTTTATGAAAGAAGATTCCAGATTAGATGAGATCAGTATGAGATCAGTGCTGCAGGATCACCGTCATACCATTACACCAGCCACTTTTAGTGTAAAAACAGAGACCTCCACATTTTGTTTTGCTGGAGAGTTCTGCCTATCGGTTCTGAAAAGTTGAAAGTCTGCCAGCTGTAGTGTATTGATCCACACAGCCACAATTCCGTATAGCATAAAACAGAAAATGAAAAAAAGTCTCTGGTTTTCCCCACCAGTAGCTGAAGTTCATCCAGTTTGTTGCACACTGTCCATGCTGGTGGAGATGCAGGTGCGCACCTGCTTGTTTCTCTCTCCTCCCGAATTTCACTGCATGAGCGAGTGAGCGAGAGGAAATAGATCAGCTGGGGTTGTTCCTATGATGTTCATAAGCTCTTCTCTGATGAAAGAGCTTGTTTTATTGTAGCAAAAAACTGAATTAACAAACAAAACAGGACAAAACAATGCACACCAACACAGCAAGGCTGCTGTCCGAGACACCATCTCAAACACCACTAATCGTTACTTTTAAAATCATAATTTGCCACTTAATAGGCCTGCAATTTATATCCAGACCAAAAAATCTGCGTCTTTGTAGCTAGTATACCAGGGACACACAAGGCTGAAGTGCCGCAAAGCACGGTTTACTTTGGGTCCATGGTAAGATCATTCCTGACAAGTAGCAATTGATGTGCCTTGTAATTTATGTTCATTGAGTGGGACAATCTGAAGGGTGGAGCAACAAGTAGGCATAAACTGAAACTGACGAATATTACACGCACATCCGCCCGCTGCCTGAGTTAAATTAGCTTGAACCTTTTCCTACACAACACACACTACCGACAACCACTGATAACTACAATGGATGAGACTGATCCCTGCTGTTTCAAGTTTCCTGAGCTATATAACTGTTTTCAGGACATTAACAGGAAGGCATTTGCAGGCATTATCACACGTAGAGCAGGCGTTGTACACTGCTTCTGCCTGTCTATTCACATGAGGAGCGCAGTGAGACACTACAGATCCAGAGACAGAAGAGAGGCTGTGGTGCAGTTTACTTGAGTAAAGTGATGTTGTGGAGACAGTATTAAGAGACAGACACATCACTGATTTTCTATGAGGTTTGTTTAAAATGAGAAAAATCTTTGTGCCTGTGTCGAATGCTGTGGCGGTTGGAATATTATGTTCACTGACACTCATGAAGGCTGGACTTTCAGTCACAGTCAGAGCTGGACTAACCCTTGTGGGGCCTGGGGCAAGGATGTAAGCCCTTGTTTCACATTATTTCTCCATTCCAGTTCATATTAATCATTTACTCACTCAAACTAATTGCCACACATGAACTTAGTGTCTTGGTCCCAATCTATGCCAACTTGTCAGGTAGGTAATCCAGTCTTGACTGCAATTTAATTACGTTGTCACTCACCCAATGCATGAATGCATTCATTTAAGAGAGCATCAAGAGATGCTGCTTTTCCCAATGTGGATGATCCCATAGTGATGGACAGAGGTCAACAGTTCACTGCTCACTGCTCTGGACCAATCGGGGTTTTCCTGGGAGCAGGAGAAAGACAGGTCAGTAAGATAATATTTATATGATTGGAATAAAAAAATGTAACCAAACTGTTAGTATGAGAATAAATGCATTTTGCTAGTTTGCTAGTTTTGTGATCATGTAAAGTCAAATTTACTGTTTGTCATCAATAAAACTGTTAAAGGTCCAGTGTGTAACATTTAGGAGGATCTAATGGCAGAAATATAATATAATATCCATAGTTATGTTTTCATTAGTGTATAATCACATGAAAATAAGAATCGTTTTTGTGTTACCTTACAATGAGCCATTTTTATCTGCAAAGGGAGCGGGTCCTTTTCTACGGAGGCTACCATGTTTAACCACCATGTTTCTACAGTTGCCCAGAACAGATAAACCTAATACAGGCTCTAGATTGGGCCTTTTTGCATTTTGCAGCCGCCATAGATTGGAAAGCTTAACTGTATTCAGATGTTTGCAATCTGCAACTTTAACACTAGATGCCACTAAATCCTATACACTGGTCCTTTAAGCTAAATAAACCTTTAAAAAACCTATTAGTTGGAAAATGTACTGTCACAAAGCTGAAAACAGGCAGTTTTTCTGACTTTTTAGAGATACATGGTTCT